CATTAGTCTACCTCTAATCACTGTCTCACATTGGAAATGTCTATGAAAACAAATTAGTCAGAATTATTTTTTGGTATCATCGGGAAACTAGGGACTGTAAACAGCGAGTAAGTGAATGAGTTTGGGTTAACGCCCCTTTGACCATATTTCAGGTATATCACGGCGTGTCAGCTGGAAGGAAAGCCCGACGTGGACGTCCAGTAGAGCAGATAATGGAAGCAGAGATACATCATCTGTGAGGCTGAATCTTTTGGGGGACAATATAAAGGCAGCGTAATCAATCAATCAATCTTTATTCATGGTACTTATGAGGCCAAAGGCCTATAGTACAATGTGTGGGGCGTGTTACAAATTCATACATTTTCTTAGTTTCATGGCATGATAAATGAACATTGATAGATTTCTAATAGTTTCTGTACAATCACAAGTCATTAATTTACAAAATTTGTTACCGTTTGGGTTGCTGTAGAAATAGTTATTTAGATATTTTGCTCTTAAATCTTCATACACTGGACATACACATAAAAAGTGATATTCATCTTCAGTACAATCAGTTTTACAAATCCTACAAAGTCTGTGTTCTCTTGCAATACCTTCATATCTGCCTGTTTCAATAAATAGATCATGTGAGCCACAACAGAATCGAGAAAGAGCTGTTCTAAACTTATGTAAATTTACACTTAATAGATAAGGTTCTAGTATAATAGTAGTCTTAAATGTAGTGTAATAGTTTGCTTTTCTAGAACTAAACAAAGAACAATGCCATTTTTGAATGTTCATATCTTTTAAAGTCTGTGTCAAACGGGAGAAGAAATGTTGTGGCATATCTACATGTTGCTGTAACCAAATATAACCATATCCACATTCGTATAACATGTTTTTAACTTTTGATGCCCAATTTTGTTTCCCATGGCTGTCGTAGAGAAGCATCATATTATAACATTTTTTCGGGTATCTTGAAGATGGCATATTTAATAGCTTGACCCAGTATTTAATAACCTTTAAATAACTATTGATATACATGGGAAACCGTCCGCATTCACCATATACCCTTGCGTTTTCTGTGCTAGATTTTACCCCCAAGAACCGTTTACATGCATATAAATGTATTTTCTCAATAACATCCAAATGTTCTAGGCCCCAAATTTCGGATCCATACAATAGCATCGGGCTTATTTTTGTATCAAATATTTTAAAATAAACATCATATGTAACATTGTCCAGAACTCTAAGACTTTTTAATATGCCTACAAAAAATGTCTTGGCTTGCAATGAAATGTTATGTGCATTCCTTGACCAAGTTAATCTACTTGTAAAACACAAGCCTAAGTATTTATAAAATGGAACAACTTCTACAGGCTTCCTTCTGTAAAACCATTTTTCTTTTCTGGATATGTTACCACCATTTTTAAAAACTACAACTTTGGTTTTATCCATATTTACAGTAAGTTTTGACTCGTCACAATAACTCTCTAATACATGTATTTGCTTTTGCAGGCCAGGTATTGTGCTCGAGAACATGACTATATCGTCAGCGAAAAGAAGCAGAAATAATTTAATAGTTTCGGGGTGCAGTTGTATTCCATCAGTGCAATTATTTTGGATTTGATATGCCAAATCATTTATGAAAAAGGAAAATAAGAAGGGACTTAATATACACCCTTTTCGGACACCCCTGCTACTTATAAAAGTATCCGATATAGCGCCATTGTTCCGTACACATACCTTCACATTTTTATATAGAGAGCATAATAACTTTCCAATTTTGCTACTTAGCCCATGTCTTTGAAAGTGTGACCACAAGTTATCCCTTTTCACAGAGTCAAAAGCTTTTGCAAAATCTACGAATACAGCATATAGCTTCCCTCGTTTCACTGATAGATATCTCTGAATTATAGAATATAGGATAAAAGCATTGTCAGTGGTGGAGAATCCTTTTCTAAAACCTGCTTGTGACTCACTTATCTTATCCAAAGAATCCGCCCAGAAAACAAGTCTCTTGTTAATAATTGAAGTAAATATTTTACTGAATGTACTTAGGAGAGTTATGCCTCTGTAATTATTAACATCGCTGGTTGCGCCCTGTTTGTGAAGAGGGACAATAATGCCAACTGTCCAATTATCTGGAAAATATGATCTCTCTAAAAGGATATTAAAAATTAGTTCCAAATATGGTATTAAAATGTCTGAGGAATGTTTAAAAAACTCTGCTATCACATTATCATTTCCAGCGTAATCTTAATGTTTAAGAATCAAATCTTTGGAAAGATTGGTAGACTCGTCATCAGCCTAGCTTAGCATCTACACACTTTCATTCTAATTCTTCAAAGAAAGCAGAGGACTTTTAAGTTGTGTCTTTTAAACATCACAGAACTTTAACACAATGGAATCTCAATCAAAATAGTGTGTTAATACACAGGAGATATTATGAAATAGGTCGTATTATTTGACGGAGTCGGGAAGATACAGGTCATCAAATACGTTGTGAATGTGTTACTTGGATGTCACGGCTGTGTTCATCCCACGTCACACACTGTCTCGGAGATACAGTAAAGTTCGGTTATAACGAACTCATAGGGACTACTAATTTTAGTTCGTTATAACCGTAGTTCGTTATAAGCATATATACAGCATAACTACAGCAAATAGTCGGGACTAAAAATTAAGTTCGTTATATCCGTCAGTTCGTTATAAGCGTGTTCGTTATAACCGTAGTTTACTGTACTTCTCTTCTTACGTGGTGTCGGAGGTACTTCTCTCCTCCTTACTTGACTATAAGGATAACCTGCCAGTTTAGGACACTACAACATACAGGTTCATGTCAGTACCTTACAATACATACAACATTGCGTCAGTACTGCGATTTACATTTCACTGAGTGGAACTGTTTATATTAACATGTTTACATAATATTTGTGAAGCTATCCATAAAATAAATACTTAACCTGGAGAACACCGTACAACTCCATTACTTTTGGGCAAAATATACTGTATATATATTACAATGTTAGAAGCAGGGCCTAAAATATTATTTGATGTTGTAAACTTGATGAAAGTCTGTCGACATTTGAGAAAAGGTATAACATAAATTTGTCCCTTCACACTAGTAAACTGGAATTAATTTTAAAAGAAACGAATTTGAAAATAACTAACATAAAACAAAACACATTAAGGTAGTCAGTCCACTTCACTACTTCTGTTGCTATGGACAACGCCGTTAAAAAAAGTAATTCATTTAAAAATGAAAGATTTACGCAATTAAGAATACATGACACCATATTATAGATTACATGGATATCAACTTTTTTCTACTCTGTGTAACGACGTTTTGAAGGATTAAATCCCACCGGTGTAAATAAACCATCATGTATATTTATATCAACTTTATACACTTACTCGGGACTCGCCTGACGAAGTAAGAAGTAGTTCCGAAACCTCGTTTAAAAGAATAAAAGACGCTGCTTTCCATACAATAGCGTCATGTATTGATGTTCTTCTAACTTCAAAATGCCTATCAAAGTCTTCATTTACACAATAAATTAAAAAAGTTAAAACAGGTTTATCCTATAGCGAAGTCTTTTTTAAGTCTTCAGGATAGAATAAAAACTTATTTGAGCTTGAAATTCGATAACATTTGTTTAGCTAAGACTTGAAACGTCCAGGTCTTAGAAATACGTTCACGTCCGGATAATTCTACCTTCAGTTGATCACACAATCTGTGTGCGCTGCATGACTGAAACTTATCGCTTATTTCACAATGGTCTTATTTTACATGTTGGGGGTGATGTTCCTTCACTCTGGGAGAGTACAAGCTGCTATTGTTTCCGAGAAGCTCTGTCTGAATTCTGCATACAGACTGGTCAACTCTGTCACAACAGACAACTTCTCGGGCATCCAGTCTGTGACAACATCGTCCCGTGCTGAATGTCTTGCTCGGTGTGTCGGCGTCAAGCCCTGCACCGGCGTAGTCTACTGCCCCGACGACGACGTCTGTTACCTGATGGCAACGACATCTGAACAAGGCAGCGTCCCCCGCGTCACGTGTCAACTGTTTGTGGAGGAGGATGCTAGGATGCAGGTGAGATAATTACCCTTTTCATTACCACAGCAACTGATAACACAGAGTTATGATACTGGCAGGTTTCCGGTCCATTGTTTGTCATTCTTGTCGCAGTATTAAACGTTCTTGGAACACAAACCCGAGGCAACCGAATAGTTCCCTACACTCTGTTGTCTGAGTGGGGACTCAGTGGATATGGCGTCAGGCTTGGTGACTTGGTTGATCAATCCCTTGATTGTCTCGCCCAGACTCTGTCATTTATTATTCCAACATGGAGGAGGTTTTGAAGAGTCTTTTCTTAATTTGACAACGTTAAGTTGGGATTAGCAGTTAATTTCAACCACAAGTTGCAGTGATATATGACAGAAAGAGACAAATGTCTTCCTTAGAATGAATGATGTTTTAAGGAGAGAAAAGCGTAACTGACTGAGGAAGACTGACATTTATTATATGTAAACGTACATAAAGTCCTATCACTATATAATATGAAATCTAAGTAGGCTCACTATGCTGTAAGTTAAACACAACACGGTGTTGAACCATCCTCACGCACTGGCCTGGGGGCAAGTGTAGAATGTAAACGTTCATAACAATCAGTACAATTTTAAAGAATTGTATAGACGCACATTCCGAATACAACGGTAACAGCTGCAGTACTCAGAAGGTAAAGATCCGGGTTAGAATAGGTTTTCATTAACCCATTCTTGTCGTAAGAGGCGACTAACGGGATCGGGAGGTCAGGCTCGAGGACTGAGTTGATGCATGTCGTCGTATACCATTTGCATTGATCGATGTTCATGACATCAATAACTGGATTGTCTGGTCCAGACCCGATTATTTACAGACCGCCGTCATATAGCTTGAATATTGCTGAGTGCGGCGTTAAACAACAAACAAACAGAAGGTAAAAGGGAATATTTTGGACCATCTTTACAAGGAATTATCTCATGCAGGGAACGACTGATGTTCTGACTTCCCCCGCAACATCTAAAGCTTTGACGAACACAATAGGCGACATAACACCCTCCACAACTGAAACTATGTCATCGTCGGCAAAGGAATTCATGACACCCTCCACAACAGAAGACATCACATCCTCAACAACAGAAGCCATGACATCCTTAACAACAGAAGTCATGACATCGTCAACAACAGAAGTCATGACACCCTCCACAACAGAAGACATGGCATCGTCCACAACAGAAGCCATGACACCCTCCACAACAGAAGACATCATATCGTCCACAACAGAAGCCAAGGCGACGTCCACAACAGAAGCCAAGGCATCGTCCACAACAGAAGCCATGGCATCGTCCACAACAGAAGCCATGACATCGTCCACAACAGAAGCCATGACACCCTCCACAACAGAAGCCATGACATCGTCCATAACAGAAGCCATGACACACTCAACAACAGAAGACATCACATCGTCCACAACAGAAGCCATGACACACTCCACAACAGAAGACATGACATCGTCCATAACAGAAGCCATGACATCGTCCCCAACAAAAGCCATGACACCCTCCACAACAGAAGACATCACATCGTCCACAACAGAAGCCATGACACACTCCTCAACAGAAGACATTACATCGTCCATAACAGAAGCCATGACACACTCAACAACAGAAGACATCACATCGTCCATTACAGAAGCCATGACACACTCAACAACAGAAGTCATGGCATCGTCCACAACAGAAGCCATGACACCCTCCACAACAGAAGACATCACATCGTCCACAACAGTAGCCATGACAGCCTCCTTAACAGAAGACATCACATCGTCCATAACAGAAGCCATGACACACTCAACAATAAAAGTCATGGCATCGTCCACAACAGAAGCCATGACACCCTCCACAACAGAAGACATCATATCGTCCACAACAGGAGCCATGACACCCTCCACAACAGAAGCCATGACACACCCAACAACAGAAGTCATGGCATCGTCAACAACAGAAGCCATGACACCCTCCACAACAGAAGACATCACATCGTCCACAACAGAAGCCATGACACACTCAACAACAGAAGTCATGACACCCTCCACAACAGAAGACATCACATCGTCCACAACAGTAGCCATGACAGCCTCCTTAACAGAAGACATCACATCGTCCATAACAGAAGCCATGACACACTCAACAATAAAAGTCATGGCATCGTCCACAACAGAAGCCATGACACCCTCCACAACAGAAGACATCATATCGTCCACAACAGGAGCCATGACACCCTCCACAACAGAAGCCATGACACACCCAACAACAGAAGTCATGGCATCGTCAACAACAGAAGCCATGACACCCTCCACAACAGAAGACATCACATCGTCCACAACAGAAGCCATGACACACTCAACAACAGAAGTCATGACATCGTCAAAGACAGAAGCCATGACACCCTCCTCAACAGAAGACATCACTTCGTCCATAACAGAAGCCATGACACCGTCCACAACAGAAGCCATGACATCGTCCACAACAGAAGCCATGACACCCTCCACAACAAAAGCCACGCCACCCTCAACAACAGAAGCCATCACATCGTCCATAACAAAAGCCATGACATCCTCCACAACAGAAGACATCACATCGTCCACAACAGAAGCCATGACACACTCAACAACAGAAGTCATGACATCGTCAAAGACAGAAGCCATGACACCCTCCTCAACAGAAGACATCACTTCGTCCATAACAGAAGCCATGACACCGTCCACAACAGAAGCCATGACATCGTCCACAACAAAAGCCATGACACCCTCCACAACAGAAGACATCACATCGTCCACAAGAGAAGCCATGACACCCTCCTCAACAGAAGACATCACATCGTCCATAACAGAAGCCACGACACACTCAACAACAGAAGTCATGGCATCGTCCACAACAGAAGACATCATATCGTCCACAACAGAAGCTATAACATCCTCAACAACAGAAGCCATGACATCCTTAACAACAAAAGCCATGACATCCTCAACAACAGAAGCCATTAGATCCTCAACAACAGACGCCATGACATCGTCCACAACAGAGGCCATGACATCGTTTACAACAGAAACCACGACATCATCCACAACAGTCGCCATGACACCCTCCACAACAGAAGCCATGATACCCTCCACAACAGAAACTACGTCATCCTTCACACCAGAAGCCATGACACCCTCCACAACAAAAGCCATGACATCCTCCACAACAAAAGCTATGACATCCTTAACAACAAGAGCTATTACATCCCCAACAACAGAAGACATCACATCGTCCATAACAGAAGCCACGTCATCCTTCACAACAGGAGACATCTTATCCTTCACAACAGAAGCCATGACATCCCCCACAACAAAAGCCATGACATCCGTAACAACAAGAGCTATGACATCCCCAACAACAGAAGACATCACATCGTCCATAACAGAAGCCACGTCATCCTTCACAACAGGAGACATCTTATCCTTCACAACAGAAGCCATGACATCCTCCACAACAAAAGCCATGACATCCTTAACAACAAGAGCTATGACATCCCCAACAACAGAAGACATCACATCGTCCATAACAGAAGCCACGTCATCGTTCACAACAGAAGCCATCACATCATCCAGAACAAAAGCCATGTCATCCTCCACAAGAGAAGCCATATCATCCTCCACAACGGAAGCCATGACATTCTCCACAACAGAAGACATGACGCCCTCAACAATTGAAGCTGTCCTCCTCAACAACAGAACCCATCACATCGTCCACAACAAAACCCATCACATGGTTCACAAAAGAAAAAATGAGACCCTTAGTTATTGAAGCTATGTCATCCTCAACAACAGAAGCTATGACATCGTTCATAACAGAAGCCACGACAAGAGAAACCACGACACCCTCAAAAAATTAAGCTAGGTCATCCTCCATAACAGAAGCCATCACATCGTCCACAACAGTCGCCATGACACCCTCCACAACAGAAGCCATATCATCCTTCACAACGGAAGTCATGACATTCTCAACGACAGAAGTCATGACATCGTCCACAACAGACGTCGTGACATCCTCCACAACAGAAGACATCACATCGTCCACAACAAAAGCCATGACATCCCCCACAACAGAAGACATCACATCGTCCACATCGTTCGAGGGGCGCTTGCACTTTAACAATAAAGTGTATCGTGGTCATTTTTCTTCTTCTAAAATAAGGCAGAAACAGAAATTACACATGATTTAAGATTTATCAATCACTTATTTACTAGACAATTCAGTTGAAGACAGCTAGTTTGTTAGGAATCATAAGGCGTTTCCTGGTTCTAGCAAATAATCTTGAATATATGTTTGTGTGTGTCTTTTTGGTTTCGTTTTCTTTTTGCTTTTTAACAGTATTCCAGTTATATCGCGTCGTGTCAGCTTAATGTGGGAGGAAAGACCGAAGTGATGCAGGTCTCAGACGTTTACCACTTCGGCAAAACCCACGAGCACGGGTATGGTGCTGACAAACCTAGAAACATAATCTGGACGAACAGGGATTCGAACCGACAATCATAGGTTTCTGGCGTGCCCAAGGGACGCAACTCTGCACAGCGAATCGCGGCGCCTCAGACGACTGAGCCACCCGTGCCCCCCAATACAGAAGGAACATGATTCTAAATGTTATCATGTTTAATAAATATTGCATAAATCCAAAGTATCCATAACTCCATTAATCCGACGGTGTGGACAGACATCACCACCATATACGTTGATGGACGACCTGAGTAGCGAAACCAAGCAGGAACAGCTCTCACGAACGACCACGGTTCCACGAAATAACAACATTCCAAATGTTATGCTTACACATTGCCATATATCCCCGTGGATATTCCGGGGAAGGGGTGGTCCTCAGCATAGCTGAGATCATATGGTCAAGCTGCTGCCGTCATGACGTGAATCGTTGTTCATGCTCCCAGTCGCTATTTGCCTGGTCCATTGTACACTGAAAGGCAAAAGAAACGTCATGTGGATGTATCATATAAACATCTTTATTTTCAAATGCTTATATATGTAAGTAAAGACATCGGAGAAAGTCAGTGTTTGACCCACATGAAATTAACAGTCTGGGGAATATTTTTTGCGAATTGTGAATTTGGGGAGGCACCAGAAGACATCACTGCTGGGGGGTTCAAAATCAGTACCTGGTGTGGCCACCACGCACGTTGACTACAGCCACACATCTCCTGTACATGGAGTGGACTAGCCTGTTTGATGAAGGCCATTGGGATAGGGGCCCATATCCTCAGGAACGCTACACGCAGTTCTGCTGCAGTTGTCGGCCTTGGGCGTACGTCGTTGAGTTGGCGTTGGATCTCATCCCACAAGTGTTCAATGGGATTCAAATCCGGACTCAGGGCAGGCCAAGGCATGATTGGGATGTTGTGCTGCTGGAGGAAGTCCCTGGTGACTCTGGCAGTGTGGGGACGGGCGTTGTCTTGCTGAAAGGTGTGGTTTTGATGACGGGCAAAAAAAGGCACGATATGGGGTTTGAGGACTTGGTCAATGTAGTGGAGAGCTGTGATGCCATTACCCCTGCCTGGACCAATATTCTGAAAGACCACAGGCCCCACTCTCTGGTTCAGTCCGATTCCACTCCAAACCATGATGCTCGTTCCATAACACAAGCATCAGCATAAGGTTCGCCCCTCCTTCGCCAGACCCTGACTCTGCCATCCACCGTTGAAACACAGTAGCGACTTTCATCAGTGAAGATGATTCTTCTCCATTGCTGTTGACGCTCATTTTGATGCTGTCTGGCCCATTGCAGTCGGGCCTGTCGGTGACGATCTCTCAGGATGGGTACACGAGCAGGACGGTGGCACGAGATGATGTTGGCAGTTAGGCGACGTCGGACTGTACGATCACATGGCACGCTGGTGGTTGCCAAAGGTTTGCCGAGCTGTTTCAGTGGCCATTCGGAGTCGGTTCTGCAGATGTTGGCGTGTCATGAACCGATCTTGTCTGGGAGTAGTGACTCTAGGACGACCACTACGCGGTCGGTCGTCGGTGGTGTTGTGGCGATGTTGCAAACTATATATCGTTCTGCCGGTGACATTTGCAACGACATGTGCACTCTGGCCTGCTTGCAGTCTTCCGATCGCTTGTTGTCTCTCATTTCCCGATAATCTTGGCATGGCTGATGAATCGAAATAACGAAAGCCAGCTTAACAGTTTTGGGTGTCTTTTATACCCATACCATCCAAGATATTTTTAACAAGACTTTTCCGCAACTGAGTCCCATTGCACTCCATTTTAAACTCAATTGTTAAATGGACTTTAAGGCAACAAAAAGAAGCAGTAGAACGATAAATGAGTTTATTGACCACAGAACTTGTAACTGCCAGTGTTTGTTAAGTTTTATCAGTATTTTCAGAAGTGACGTTTCTTTTGCCTTTCAGTGTATATACGTCGCCACCACATTCACACACGTAGCTTGAACATTGCTGACTACGGCGCTAAACAACATTCAGTCACACGCTATACGTGTACGTGCTGTGGCACCAACTTTGACTTCTGACTTCAACTTTTAGTTTCGTTCAAGTCAATTTACAAACTGGGGATCTTTTTAGTAGCCAATGTAAACCTGCAGAAATAATAGAGGATCACAAACGAGACAGCACTGCCCTTATATTCGCATGTGAAGTCTTCGTGCCTTCCAGAAACAATGTTGTTACGCTGCATATGAGCACCGAATAGTAGGAATATGGTAACAGTGCTATGTACATCTCCGCTTTAACTATCCGTGAGTGAGTGAGTTGGGTAACGCCGCTTTTAACAGTATTCCAGTTATATCGCGGCGTGTCAGCATAAAGCTGAAAGCTTAAAGCCCGAAGTGATGCAGGTCTCAGACGTTTACCACTTCGGTAAAACCAGAGAGCACGAGTATGGTGCTGACAAACCTAGCAACACAATCGGGGCGAACCGGGATTCGAACCCACAATTAAAGGTTTTTGGCTTGCCCAAGGGACGCAACTCTGCACAGCGAATCGCTTCGCCTTAGACGACTGTTACTGGTCGCAAATAACTTTTAATAATTTACTATCCAACTTTGACTAGTCACTAATAACTTTGACTGCCCGACAATGACTGGTCAATAATACACGTTGAAGTGCAGAAAACACCGGATAGTAAAAGTGGAACAGTACATGGGTACGAAGTCGTGGCTACAGGAAGTATTTTCTTCCCATGAAGGGAAGGGCTCATCTCAACACAAGGCTTCACCATCCCTACCCCTCACATCAAATAAACTCATTGATATTGTTGGAATACAAATTACAGCTACGCAAATATGTTCATGATAATAACTGAAGCCTAACAACAATAAAAACAACAACACATCTACACTTGTCCATTACAAGTACACTCACGATGAGGTGCACAGAATAGGCCAATGGGATCCATTGTGTAGCGTCGACACCCTTGTCATGTGAGACTTGGGTAAATGTTAGACTATAGTCGACTGTCAACCAGTTGTTTGTGAAGAGTAGAGCTATTGTCTCATCGGAACTCAATAGTTTCTTCACTAGTGTTATATCCACCGGAACAGGTAAACAAGTAGAACATTAGGTAACGCTTAGAAAGCCATAAGCCTCGGGCAAATCTAAGTTGTTCAATGAAATAACACAGGAAGTTATCTACCTGTGTACCTCCAGTTTTTCATTTCACATGTTTTAAGAATATTATTTAAACTCAGCAAAGGAGAAGTCGATAAAGTTACAGAAATAAAAATGTTACTTTATTGTGTTCCAGGAAGTGTCAACATATTGACATAGACGCCATCTTCCTCAGGTCACGACTTTCAGAAGAAAGCAGTCAGCATTCAAGATAAGCTGCATATACGTATCCGCGTAAATACACAAGTAAATACACTGTTACACAGTTACTTAGGAGATGTTTACCACCAAGTGTAGCCTCACGCAGTTGGCTAAGCAGATTTGCATACCATTGGCCATTAATGCTCTGACCTTTTTTGGGGGGGGGGGGGGGGGGGGGGGGGGGGGGCACGGGTGGCCCAGTCGTCTACGGCGCCGCGATTCGCTGTGCAGAGTTGCGTCCCTTAGGCACGCCAGAAACCTATGATTGTGGGTTCGAATCCCGGTTCGCCCCGATTATGTTTCTAGGTTTGTCAGCACCATACCCGTGCTCGTGGGTTTCACCGAAGTGGTAAACGTCTGAGACCTGCATCACTTCGGGCTTTCCTCCCACATTAAGCTGACACGCCGTGATATAACTGGAATACTGTTAAAAGCGGCGTTAAACCCAACTCACTCACTCACTCACTCTGACCTTTTGGGAGGCAGTCCACCAGTAGGATTCATTTGGAATCATCGAAAGCCGAATACATCACCTTGCCAGATGATGGAACAAGATCAGCCACCCCTCGTACATGCAGACAAGCGCTACTCGTCTTTTTTGTAACATAGACGTATTTCGATTTTATGAGCTCACGCTATATCTGACACACTTGGGGCAGCGCATGAATTCAGATGCACTTTTTTGAGTCACATTAAACAGCATGAGAGACAGAATTATATTTTAAAAATGTAGTTCTTTGTTTTTGTTTGTAAATACCGAAAAAGACTGCTCGTAGGAGGTAAACCTTTTCAAATACCCAAAGAAAACTACAATTGATTACATGTTTGTTTTAGACACATCTTACCCCAGCATATCA